GGCGCCTTCATCATCATCATCATCATCATCATCAGCAGCATCATCATCAGCATCATCATCAGTCTCTTCCTCCTCCTCCAAGAGTTCTACAGAGAGTGTGCTCCTCGGACAGATGTCTCCTCCCTCTCCTCCTCCCCCTTCGACGGGGGGTGAGGGGTCCTCCGCTCGCCCAATCACCGTTGTCCAAGGAGGCACGAGCTAAGTGTTGGTCCTCTCAGCTGGGCACCCCTCGGGCTGCGCGCCCAAACGAGGGGCCGCCTGGTAGAGGCGGCGCGGGTGGCTCCCGACGGGCGGTCCGCACCAGTAATGGCGCCACGAGCTGCCAACGCAGCGCGCAGGGCTTAGTCTCCAGTCGAGTTCGATTGAATCGGAGCCAAATTACGTTATTACATTATATTATATCATCTTACTCCTCCGCCCTTCAATCTTCAGACAAGCAAAACGGGTGGCGCTGGTTATTAGCATTGTTGATCATGACCAAGCGCTTGGAGGAGGGGCGGGGAGATTCCGTACAAACGAGTCGTGCTGCTTAGAAGGTCGGTTTCTTTTTTGTTCGTTGTGTTGGGCCGTTGCCGCATCCCAGTGAGGCGGCGTTCTGGATGAAGTGTTTACGCGGCCAGGCTTGCCCTTGCGCATCGCACATGTTACACCGATCCATCCCTGTCTTCTCCCTAACCGTACTTGCATCCGACTTTCCAGCAGGCCGCCGCCTTCCTTCTCGGGCGGGCGGTTGCGGCCAGCCCCTGTGCTGCAGGCGGGGGCGGCCTGTTCTTCCGCTCGACTTACGTCGCCTGACCGACCGTCGTCGGTGGGCAGCGCGCGTTCGCTGCACGAGTGCTCGTCGGTCCCCGACGAGCGTCGCGCTCAGCCGCAGCCCAGCGCCGCGGGCGTGCGGCGACTCCGCGGACCCCACGCTGCTACCGTGCAGTGCCTTCTCTTCGTCCTCTTATCTCGTGGCCCCGCCTCCCGCGTTCCTTTCCCACGGCTCCTCCGAGCTGTCGGGGCCAGAGGAAGGAAATTGAGTGGGTGGGGTGGGGGAGATGGAGAGGGGGCCTAAGCGAGAAGGGGGGGGGGAGAGGGCGGGAGAGCGAGTGAGGATAGGGGGGGGGCGGGGGAGGGGGAAGACATGGGCCAGGGGAGACCAGAGGGCGAGGGAGATATGCTTCCTCGAGCTCTGAGCCTCACTTCCTCCCTCTCCCCCCCCTCCCTGCTCCTGCTCCTCTCTGCATCCACCCCTCCCCCGCTATTCTTCTTCGCCTCTTTCCCCTCCTCTTTCCCCTTCGCTTTCCCCTCCTCTTCCTCCTCCTCCTCCTCCTCCTCCTCCTCCTCCTTCTCCTCCTCCTCCTCCCCCTCCTCCTCCTCCTCTTCCTCCTGCTCCTCCTTCTCCTCCTCCGTCTGCTCTTCCCCCTCACGGCCTCCTATCGCCTGTGCCTCAACGTCCTCCTTTTCATCCTCCCCCCTCCCCCTCCTCCTCCTCCTCCTCCTCCTCCTCCTCCTCCTCCTCCTCCTCCTCCTCCTCCTCCTCCTCCTCCTCCTCCTCCTCCTCTTCCACGGCTGCAGGTCACGGAAGGTTAGATACGTTTAGCATCGGCTCCAACATCTCCTCGTGCCTGATCTCGCCAAAGCCGACACAGTCCGAACCGGCCGTGCTCAATCCGGCTTCATCTGGGGTCTCATCGGACCCATTTCGGTTTGATCGCCCTCTCCTGACCTTGCGTCGTGGTCCCGAATCGTCCCTGCGAGGAACTCCCAGGGGCTGCTTCCTGAGCGGGGGGAGGACGGCGAGAGGAGCGCTCCGCCTGGGCACCAGAGGCGGGACCCGGGACGAAGCAAGCTTCGGGGGCCCCCAAAGTGTGCGGTGACTGCACATGTGGTGAGTCTGAGGATTTCGGGGTCATCCGTGGCACGGCACTCGAGCGACCTCAGCGCGAGCGGCGAGGCACTTGGGCAGCTCGTTCGCCGAGGCACCCCAGCAAAGGCCTTGGCGAGCGGCACGGCCGACGTGCCGCTCGTTGGTCTGGGCACTCCCCGGAGAGCGACTCGCATCAAGATTTTGTGGGCGAGAAGCATCTCCGTACCCGCGGCCTCGCGAGGGCCGAGCCCTGGGCCGCGACCCCGCGGGAAACGGGGCGCTCTTGTTCGCAGGAGCCCCGAGCGTGACGTGTCCGTGCAAGTGCGTAGCCGCGGGGTCGCGCCCTGGAATCCAGACCGCGAGAGCGCGGACACGGATATATTCGCCGCTCGTGGGTCACCGCACGGTTTGGAGTGTGGGTCGTTCTGCGAGGACGTCTCGGGCGATTGGGGCTTCCGAGGTCCGGGACGGGCCGTGCGGTCTGTCACCGCCTGGCTTTGGGACACCTCACAATTGCCCTTGGGAAAGGGGTCGGGGCATCCTTGGGGCGCGCGGATGCGTTCTGTGTTTTTAGTGTTTTGAGTTCTTTGTCGTCCCACCCTTTTGGGGGCTTCCGGGCGGCCAGGGGGCGAGGTCCTCATCAACACGTTCTACGGGCTCATCTTCTACCGCGAGTACGTCGCGCTGCTGCAGCGGCAGGATTCTAGAATCGAGCGGGCGGGGGCGGTCCCTTCGGGTGGAGGAGCGTCCCCTGCACAGGACAGGGTGGTGGTGGCAGGGCACACGGGGGCGTCCAAGAGGGGGGGCTGACGACAAGGGACCAGGGGCGTGTGGACATCATGACCAGAGCCATGATATCTTCCAGATTTCATGGCCTCATCTTCTTCTTATTCAAGACGCTTCGCGTTCACCGCCTGGGCATCCCAATTCTCGCCGGAAGAGGCGCAGACGGCGCCAAGACGGGGTGGCAGCATTCCAAAAATAGTGTGAGAGACCCCCGACGGGTCCAAGAGGCGCCCTCAAGGGCCGAAGAGGGCCTGAAAAGGGCCAAAAAGTAGACCCAATGAGGCCCCGAGGCTGCCCAGGCGGGCATCTGGACGGCTCAAGCGCGAGCATCCCCATGGTGGGCCCAAGCCCCGTTCGCATTTGCATCGAAACTGGGCCCGGATCTGGGCCAGTTTTGGTTCCGATTTGGGGGCCTCAGTTGGGCACATCCAGAATCGGTCAAAATTGATACCCAGACGCATGGACCTCGCGTGCAGGCGAGCCGCCAACTTCGCGCGAGTGACGGCCACTGCTCCTCTGAGCACGCCAGGCACGAGGCCTCGGCTCCGGCGCGGCCAGGACTCCAACGAAGTCCAGATCTTCGATGGGGATCCCCTCGTCCGCCGAGCGCAAGAGCGCAGGAGGAGGAGGAGGAGGAGGAGGAGGAGGAGGCGGAGGAGGCGGAGGAGGCGGAGGAGGCGGAGGAGGAGGAGGAGGAGGAGGCGGAGGTGGCGGAGGAGGAGGAGGAGGAGGCCGCGGAGACGGGTGCCCCCCCAGTCGTTCTCCAGGCGCTTCGGGCCCGTGCCGCCGCCGACTTCCGCCGCGCGGGCGCCTGCCGAGGGCAAGAGCCCTCCCCGAAGACCCCCCTCGACATCCCAGCGCTCTTCTGCGACACCTCCGCCCACCGTCGCCACGGAGGAGGAGGGAGGGAGGAGGGAGGGAGGAGGAGGGAGGGAGGAGGGGAGGGAGGAGAGGAGGAGGAGGAGGAGGAGGGGGGAGAAGGGGTTTGAGAATCAGCTCACGGAGCTGCTTTTCCCGGCGCCTCCTGGCGCCGGGCCTCCTCCTCCTCCTCCTCCTCCTCCTCCTCCTCCTCCTCCTCCTCCTCCTCCTCCTCCTCCTCCTCCTCCTCACTCCTCCTCCTCCTCCCTCCCCCTCCTCCTCCTCCCCATCCACGCAACAGGCCGCGCGCGCGGGCCAAACCTTCTCCAGGGTGCGGGCCAAGCCTCCTCCACCGTCGAAGCCCTCGGTCTCCGAGCTCTTCTCGCGGGGGGGGCCACGTCAGTGGCCCGCCTGTGGAGGCAGCCCCCGACAGCGTGCCCCTTCCACTCCTGCGCGTCCTGCGGCGCGAGGTCCTCGACCAGGCAGCCGCACGTCGAGGAGCCAGACGGCGCTCCTCCCGCTGCGACTTCCGCTCCCTCCGAGAGAAAGTCCGCGCTGCTTCTCCGTGTGCTGCAGGCGCTGCCTTGCACTCCCAGACGGGCGTGGCTTCGCCCTGCGCGTAGCGTCCACCACACACGGCGCCGCGACCTCCGCAGGAGGCCCAGCACCTGGCGCACCTGGCCGCGCCACCAGGCGGTGGCAGAGTGCAAGGAGTATGGCGCTTCTCCTCCGCATCCTTCGCCACCGGTCGCGGCACCGGCGCGCGGCTGCGGCTGCGGCTCCGCGGCCGCAGGGCAAGCCGCGCCGGCGATCTCGGCGACTTCTCCTTCGGCGCAGCCGGGCCGCGATGGCACCTGCGCGCTCGTGGGCTCCGACCCGCACTGCGGCTGAGCGGCACCGTGCCCAGCGGCCCCTGCGGCGAGCCGACGGCCGACGCCCTGGGAGCCGTCTCCAGCGGCCTCCCCATTCGGCGTGGCCCCTCCGCGGCTCACCGCAGGATAGCCCGCTGGACCTTTGCTTCGCTCACGGGGGCGCCAGCCGCTCGTTTCTGCGGCCGCGCGGCGTCCTGCCCATCGACCGCAGCGGCGAGCTCCCCGGCGGGTTGCGGCTCAACTCGGAGGGCTGCGGGGCCGGCTTGCCCCTCGCCTCAACCGAAGCGGGCGGTCGCCCCGCCAGCGCCCCGTGCACCGCCAGCTGCACCGCCTCCACCACGACCGGCTCCAGTTTCAGCCGCACCTCCTCGATGACATTGCTCTTGAGCACCGCGGCCTCATCCTCGAGGTCCGCCCGCAGCTTCAGGCGCGCGTCCGCGAACCGCGAGGAGGGCGATAAGGGGGAGGAGGAGGGAGGCGGGGGAGGGTGGGAGGAGGAGGAGGAGGAGGAGGAGGAGGAGGAGGAGGAGGAGGAGGAGGAGAGGAGGAGGAGGAGAAAGAGAAGAGAGGAGGAGGAGGAGGAGGAGGAGGAGGAGGAGGAGGAGGGCCCTTGCCTCCTCCGTGACGGGCCCAGGCGGCGGGGGCGCGGCTCCTGCGCGGCCTGGGGCCTCCACTGGCGCGGCGGCAGGCCCAGCAGCCGCTGCTTCCATGGAGCGGCCGGTCGGGACTGGCTCGCACGGGCACGCCGTGTCGAAGCATGCTCGTGCAATACCTACCTGGGCGCGACACGGCTGGGACGAGAACGAGGAGGAGACGAGGAGGTAGAGGAGGAGGAGGAGGAGGAGGAGGAGGAGGTGGAGGAGGAGGAGAGGAGGACAAGGACAAGGACAAGGACGAGGAAGGAGGAGGGAGGAGGAGGAGGAGGAGGAGGGGCCCGCGGGTGGGACTGCGCAGCAGCTTGCAGCGCCGCGGCCCCTGCAGGAGCGCTGCGTCTTTTTTCTTGGCGGCGTGCTGCTGGTCATCCTCGGAGGGGGCCGGGCGGGCACGCAGCTCCAGCGTCAGCGCGCCCTTTTTCCTGCGGCAGGGTGGTGGTGGCTGCTCCCCTCGTCGTCTTCGTCCTCCTCCTCCCTCCTTCTCCTCCCTCTCCTCCTCCTCCTCCTCCTCCTCCTCCTCCTCCTCCTCCTCCTCCTCCTCCTCCTCCTCCTCCTCCTCCTCCTCCTCCTCCGCTGGTCGCGGGTGTGGCGCCCCCACCAGCCCTCAGGGGGCGGCCCTGAGCATCGGTCCTGGGGGTCATGCGCTAAACCGAAGCCACTTTGGGGCGTTGCAGAATCCGAATTTACCATTCACCTGTCAGGCGGGGGGAGGAGGAGGAGGAGGAGGGGGGGGGAGGCGCAAGGCCCGCGAGGCAGCAGGGGCGGCCCGGCAGGGGCGGGGACAGGAGAGAGGAGGGCGGGTCGGGGGCGTTGGCGGTCGGTTCGGCGGTGGTCGCTGTGGTCACGGCGCTGCCGTGCTGCTGGAGGTCGTGGTCACGGTGCCTGTCGGCGGTGGTCGCGCCGGTTGTCGTCCTGGTCCTGGTCGTGGCCGAGGCGCTGGTCTTGGCGGTTGTCGTGCCTAGGGTCGTCGTCGTCGTGGTCCAAACGGTGGCGGCAGGGGTTGTCAAGCTGGGGGTGGATGTGGTCGCACCGCTGGTGGCGGACGTGGTGGTTGCCGCGCCGGCGGTAGAGGAGCTGGCGGCAGCGCGCTCACCGCCCCACAGCCGCCAAGATGGCCTCGGCGTTTCCGAGGTGCAGCCGCCTGCTCAGTTGTTGCCAGCCATAGCGGATGACCTCTGTCCGCTCCGCGGGGGCCATGTCGTGGCCCCAGGAGCGGACGTACGCCACGGTGGCGTCACCCGGGCGGCCCCCTGTTTCGAAGACCACAGTGATGAGCTGGCCCCCTTCGGGCGGGTAGCGCTCCCGCTTGGCGTCCTCGGCGTTAGTGGCGGCAAGGCCGTCCTTGTTGGAGCGGGCCTGCTGGCGCGGCGCGGTGCCGCTGTGTGCGCAGGTCACGTTCGTGTCCAAGAACACCGTCTGGCCGGTCACTACGTCGCGGGTGGCGACGTCGAGCCGCGCTTCTTCGAGGCGCCCTGTCCGCGGGTTCACCCAGTCCCAAGCAACAACCCGTTGCTCCGTCTGCGCTGCGTGTCCTGTGGTCCGCTGGTGGTAGCCTGCGCAGAAGTCCCGGAGGCCGTTGTGTTTGTTGTTGCGGTAGGGGCCACACGCGCACTTCAGGGCGTGGCGCCCGCGTCGGTCAAGCGCCTCCCCACACAGCGCCCCGTCGGCTTTGCGGAGCTTGCAGGTTGCGCCCGGCGGGCACACCGGCAGGCGCAGCTTGTCCTTGAGGGCGACCCGGAAGTGCTCGTCCGGCATTTTAGCAGGTGACTCTCCGTCTCGGACGACGGGCGGCTCCAAGTACCCACCTGCGCCAGGGCCGCCAGACGAGCGGAAGTCAACCCTGTCGTCTGCTCCCAGGGAGGCCAGCAGCCGCTCTCGTTCCTTGCTGCGAAGGTCGCCCGCCCACTTCCCCTGCATCCCCTCCAGTGGTTCGCCCATGCAGCCGGTCCAGTCGACGGCCTGGAGAGATCCCCCGCTCTGCGCCTGTAGCCGGGCCTCTGCCCTCGCCATGGCCTCGGCCACCAAGGGGCAGCGCTCCTGGAACCGCGCCCAGGAGGGCTCATCCAGGCAGGCGCCCACGCTATGGAGGGTCAGTGCCCAGCTGCCCAGGTAGGCGGCGGCCGCCGCCTGCGCGGCCGAGGCAAGCCCGAGGCCCCCGTCGGTCAACCGGAGGAAGCATTGCGCCCGCAAGTCGTCGTCGAGGGCGTCGCCGAGGAAGTCCTCCACAAACTGTGTGGGTGTCCTGTCGAGCCTGGTAAGCCAGTCCCCGTCCTCGTAGTTTGTGCGCAGCAGGTGCGTGACGCAGCCGTTGCTGTAGGTTTGGAGCAGCCAGAAGCTCTCCCTCGCCCCGAGTCCGGCGCCCTGCAGTTCCTGGAGTCGGGCGACCAATCGCTCTGCGGCCCGCACGGCCTCGTCGCCGTCAGCCTGCCCGTGGACTGCGAGCCTCGCCAGCGGATCTTCCGGTTCCACCCAGGGCGCGGTGGCCCCCAGGCAGCGGAGAGCTGGTGTCCGCAAAGATTCGAGAAGCGGCGAAAGTGGCGTCGCTGGGTCTCGGGTCCACGTCGCTGTTTTGCCCGACCAGTTCACTCCTGCGCCCGCCTTTCCAGGCTTGGTTTGCGGTGATGCCCCGCCCAATGCTGCTGTGGCAGTGAGCGTCCCGGGTGCCTCATCAGCCCGGTGAGCGGGACCGGTCGCGCTGGTTTTGCTGATCCTGTTCCTCTTGGTCCGACGGCTCCATCTGATGAAAAGCTTGATTTTGTCATGGGCAATATGATGATGCAAAGTCAGTTTGACCGTCAGATGAATTGACATCATGAAGGCCACGAAGCATTATATTCCAGAGGAGTTGAAGCCAGTTCAGAAGGCGTTGAGCAGCTCAAGAAAGACGTCGTCTCGTTGATGGTAAGTCCTGCTCGCGTCAACTCCTCGACCACTGTCTGCGCCGCTGCCTCCCCGAGCGCCGCGGGTACCACCACCATCACGTCGTCCAAGTAGGAGAAGACCGGGGCAGTCGGCGCCGCGGCCCGCTGGCGAGCGTCGATGTTGGATAACGCCTCCGCCAGCCCTAAGGCAAAGTAGGCGGGCGAGAGCGGGCAGCCCTGGTCGACCCCCTTCCTGGCTCTCACCGCTTTGGCCTTTCCGCCGGCCCCCCACCAGAATTGCGTGGTCCCCGTGCCCAGCCACACGGCCGCCGCCTGGTACAGGTCGGGCATCCGCGCCGCGACCCCCGCAAGGATTCTCTGGCGCGGCATAGTATTGAACGCGTTGGTGGCGTCGAACGTCAGCACCAAGTCTGCGGGCGATGCCGCCGTCATTGCCGTAACGGCTTTGTGGACTTTTTCGCACCCGGCTTGTCGTCCCACTGCGTACTGGTGCGGTCCACAGGCGTGCATCAACTGTTCCCGAAACACGTTGCGCGCAGCCCTCGCAGCAATGCGCCGCAGCACAGACCCGCACGCCACGGGCCGGACTTTGCCGTTAGGCTTTCGCAGGGCCACGAGGCGAGCACCCAAGTTCGCTTTGAGAAACCCCCTCCTCCTCCTGCTCCTCCTCCTCCTCCTCCTCCTCCTCCTCCTCCTCCTCCTCCTTTTCCTCCTTTTCCTCCTTTTCCTCCTCTCCTCCTCCTCCTCCTCCTCCTCCTCCTCCGCCTCCTCCTCCTCCTCCTCCTCCTCCTCCTCCTCCTCCTCCTCCTCCTCCTCCTCTTTTTCCTCCTCTTGTTCCTCTTTTGTTTCCTCCTTTTCCTCCTCCTCTTCCTCCTCCTCCTCCTTGTCGTCGTCGTCTTCGTCATCATCGTTATCATTGTCATCGTTGTTATCGTCGTCATTGTCGTCGTTGCACGCCAGGGCGTTTTCGCCCAGATCTCGGGCCCCAGGGCTATCACACAGGTCGATGCGGCTCGAAGGATGCCGGCGCGCCCTCCCCTGCGCCGATCCTGGGCCCAAAGGGACGGCACGGCCAGGATCGGCGAGGCGGATACAGTCAACCCGAATAATAAGAATGGGCAACCTTCCCAAGGGTACCCGGGTACCCTTGCATCCTTTCGAGATGACGAAGCAGCACAGCCGGACCGAGGTATAAGATCGAGGTCCGTTCGGGGAGGGTACCCCAACGTTTTTCGTGTTTGCTGGATGTTCTTCTGCATCAAGGGGAGGGTACCCCAGGATGCTCTGTGTGTCTTGGCCGGCGGAGGGTCTGATGCTATTGCGGGATGCTTGTTTGGCCCAGGTCCGACTGTATGAGCGATGCAGCAACTGCGTTCCCACTGACAACGCAGCTCATCCTCAAGCTACAGCCAGCCCGCACAGTAAGAGCGGGCAGCCGTCCCAAGGGTACCTTTGCATCCTTGCCTCCTCGGTCCATCCTTGGCCACGTTCGCTGGCCGCGCCCCGCTCGAAAAGCGCCGAAATTGGCGTCCAAGGCCCTTGCACCCTTATCGGCCCTCGGTCCATCCTTGGCCACGTTCGCTGGCCGCGCCCCGCTCGAAAAGCGTCGAAATGGGCGTCCGAGGCCCCTTGCACCCTTGTCGGCCCTTGCACCCTGCTTGCCGTCCGGAGGGGGTGGGACCCCCCCCCAAAAAAAAAGCGGGCCCCCGGATCCGTGACCCCGGGAGCCCCCTGGACGCCCCTGCTCAGGAGGAGAAGAAACACACACACACACACAATTAATCTTCGATTCCCCAGAAGATATAGGAAAATATGGGAAGTGGGGGGGAAGACAGAAACCCAGAAAATATAGGAAAATATGAGACATACTTTGATTTGTGTGTATTTATTTGTGTGTCCTGGGGCCCCTTCACCTGCAGCAGGTTCCTTGGGCTCCTGGACGCCCCTGCTTTGCTTAGGCAACGGGCGCAAATCAGTAAGAAGGGCGGCCGAACGGCCCCGCGAGAATCCCAGGAGGCCCCAGACCCACCAGACGCTCGAAAACGACCCCAAAAAGACATGCAAGACGCTTTTCGAAACGCAGAAAAACATGAATTCACAAATGATCGTTGCATGGTTTTGGAAATCCTCTCTTCCTCCATCTTCAGTGCGTCCGAGACAGCCCAGGAGGCCCAACAATCGCCCCAAAACTACCCGTCAGGCCGTCCAGGCAGCCCAACAGGGCACCAAGACGGCCCAACAGGGCCCCAAGATGGCCCGAAAAGAGCCCCCTTACACGCCCAAGATGGGCCCAAGACGCCCCCCGAAGCATTCCAAATCGTGACCCAGTGATTCAGGGAGGCCGCGATTGGAACCAGGGTGGCCCGAGGAACATCCTTGGAGTCCCTAAAAGACGCCCAGGAGGCCTCCAGAAAGCCCCGAAAAGCTTTTGAAAATTGTAGTTAGCCGCCCAAGCGGCTCTCCAAGGAGGAACCTCCGCAAAAAGAGCTGAGGATGAT